AGAGATTTAGGGTAGGTGTTAGGCAGAAATTCTTTCCCCAGAGGGCGGTGAGGTGCTGGCACAGCTGTCCAGAGAAGCTGTGGTGCCCCAGCCCTGGAGGCTCAAGGCCAGGTTGGATGGGGCTCTGGGCAGCCTGAACTGGTGGGGGGGCAGCCCTGCCCACAGCAGGGGTTGGGGTGGGTGGGCTGTTTGAGGTCCCTCCAATCCAAAGTGTTAATTCTATGATTCTGGGGTTCTGTGATTTTATTTTATTGCATTAAATGGATGAAAACAGCAACTAGGAATTATATTATTCTCTAAGGCTTTGGAGTTTGTGTATATGTATGATGGAGAGGCAGTTTTTAACACAGCGTGTCACTAATCCAGCTGCAGTAGAGTAACCATTGCAACTTACTTTGATGGTGCATCACAGCGTATTGCCCACAGCTTGCTTTGTTTTGTTCTCTCTATTAGTATTGTTTGGATTTTTAAGTAATTTTACAGTTCTTTTATAACAGAACTGTAGAAATATTATGATTAAAAAAAGGAGGAAATGCTGAAATGTAATTATTATGGTATAAGACATCTTCTGTCACTGGGGGCGGGGGGAATGATACAAACCATGAGAAAAGAAATAGTTGACTTGATGTTAAGCACTGAAACTAATGGATATTGATACTAGGACACTTGCATGGTCTATGCACCTTCTCTTTGTGAGTGCAGTTGTTCATGTTTCCAGGATTATCTGTAACCAAAAGGATAGCTGGAGAGCAGAGATGGCCATGTGCTTTCACGGCAGCTGGGGTGCCTGGATGGCCTGTAGGCAGCTGCAGGCTGAGGGTGCTGGCGGTACAGCAGTGAGAGCAAGATGCCAGGCAGCCCCAGCCATGCTGGCGACCCCTGGGCTCTAAGGCCTGGATGTCTGAATGTGAGTGGTGTGCACATGATAAAACACACGGCCAGCATGCACGAAAAATGTAGTAAGTGCTGTGCCGTGTAAGGTATCGGTCAGTAAATTCCAATGCAGCCTTCTTTGTTAGTGAAAATACAGCTTCAGTAATGTTCTGTTTGAAGAACTTCTTCTGTGTGTGTTGCTGTTTGTGTTGCTGTTACGTGGTTGGTGTAGGGAACCTGCTTTGGCAGGGGGGTTGGACTTGATGATCTCTGGAGGTCCCTTCCAACCCCTACAGTTCTGTGATTCTGTATATCTCTCACCTTCATCCTTCTGTCCTCAAGCAGTTCCTTTCTGCCCTGTCTGTGTAACAGTTTTTGTCAGTGCCTGAATGTTAGACAGAAGCCCCAGTGTGCTTGTGCTCTATAAACCTTCGTCGTCCAAGACGAGGTCCTCCTGAACTCTCCAGCCCCGTGCAGACAAGCAGCGAGCCGAGGCAGCAGCGCATTAGCGCGTCCTCTCCTGACCTTCTCCCCAGGCTCCAGCCAGGCCTGGCAAATGGAGGCCTGGCACGCTGCCACAGCTGATTATGCAAGGCTTTCCGCGTCCTACTTAGCTGAACAAAGGCTGCTCTGAGCGACCTAGGAATCGCACCTAGGTCACATAGGCAGAAAAAGCCATCTCTTGACAGAGTTATACTGAGTCATGATGGAGCTTTCCTTCGTGGTAAGTCTGTGAGAACTGTCAGGTTTCAAACGATGGCTTGCCTTGCTTACTAAATAGATGCAGAGCTGAGTGTCGCTCAGCTTGTTGATGCCCTTCTAGAGAGCAGGAGGGTTTAGAATCGCTGCTCTGAAGTCTGACTCAATATAAACAAAAAAGCAGTAAAAATCATACTCTAGGAGGAAAACGCATTGGTTGTTTATTGATGAAACAACACAAGTGTGGGGACTTGTCTCTCTTGCCTCTGAAATTGTGAAGGATGAGTGTGCTAGGAGAAATATATTTAATTATAGCAGTGAAAACATATAAAGTTACTTAAATCCTTGCCAGGTTGTTTTCTACTAGACCTTTCATCGGTTAAGTTCACATGCAATCCACTGTACCTCTGCTCCTTGAAGAGGTTACCTTCGCAATTGTTTCTACAATCAGGCACATCAAGGGCTCCAGAGGAGACAGAATAGATTGTAGATAATTGTGCAATTACAGATGACTCCAAATCAAGGTATATTGTGACTTCGGCTGCAGCCCTTGAGGAGAGACTGTTACTTTTTAACATTCAGAACACTGCCTTCTAGGTAAATCCTCTTACTCTGCATTTGAATTTCTATAGACTGCTGTCTGCCTTGAGGTATTGTATGTCGTCTCTGAACTGCAGCGGCCTCTCCTGCATAATAACTATTTCACACAGCAGTAGCCAGCTTCAGTGCTGCAATATTTGAGAGAGGTGCAGATGTTTGCTAGCTGCTTCTGTTTGTTGCAGAGATGGAAGTTGGAAATTATTACTATTTTTAATTTTTTTGATGCTGGCAATTGGAATTAGTGGACCTGCTTTTTGCTGATGAGCTTTATGTGTTAGAGTGCATGCTTTTTTTGAATGTTTTTGGATACTTACCAGGGGGTTATGGATTATTTATCCAGCAAGAGGTGTAGGTTTGCTTGTTTATGTGCATTTCAAAGCTTTTTGGTTTGAGAGGTTCTGTGTTTCTGTGTATTGCTTTGCTGTTTAGGGCAGATGGTTTATTCTTCTGTAGTTACATGCTTCAGATTATCAATTTTCTTGGTTTTTTGTTGGTTTTTTTTTTTTGTGGCATAGTAAACAGTGCTAGCAGAAATTTTCTACATGGCGAAAAATTTTCATAATATGGATGTTGAAATTTGAAATATAGTGTGGTGGAAGTAAGAAGTTCATTTTTTAGGAGGCATTGGTGAGAATAATCCTGCTTTTTGCTGTGCAGCACTGATTTTGCTGGTATATTTAAATATTAAAATGGTTAGATTTCTGTGTACGGTTGCTTGCTTTCTGCCGGTGAGTCTCACTGCAATAGCCCTACTGCAAAGCTACTGCAGAACGATTGTCAATCGATTCCTTTTGGATCTGCTGATTTTTTATAATAGCATCGCTAGGTGAGAACAAATCTGTTCCTTTCTGCTTTATCTCTTCATATTAATTGTTAATGACAGTACAAGCTTACACATCTGTGCAAAATGGGTTTTGAATCATTTAGATCAGCGTACTCAGTGTACAGGCCAAAGTATATAGATCTATGTTGTTAGGTTATTTTTCTGGTTAGGAAAGCTGCAATATAATGTAGAGCATTTTATTTTTATTTAGTCTTTTTTTTTTTTTTTTTTTTTTTTTTTGAGTTGCTTGCTTAGTAGAATCACTATGGTAACAGACTAAAGGATGTCCCTGAGGCACACAAGCAGCATTGCAATGTAAGTGATGGGAGGTTTTAAGTTCTCTCCTACTGCTCAGCACTAGGAAAAAGAAACCAAAAAAAAAAAAGCAAGCAAGACAGAGAAATAAGCTAGTATTTAACATTTTTAAGCTATTAAATTTATGCTAAGGTTAAAAAGTTATTTTGCAAGTAATGTATATCATTATTTTCTGTACTCTTGCGAATTATGTTGCTAGAATTTTCATAAAAATTTGTAAATTTTGGTTATTCAACTTGAGTTTGTTTAATTTTCTAAAAGCTGCTATATATTACAAATGGTATTGATGTAAGTCAGTGAGATTATGCCACTATATGCCTCAGCTAATGAGGAACTTCTTTCTTATACTGTGCTGTGGACAATATATTTATCTAATATATGTATTTTTTTCTGTTAAAAATATCTATTTAGAAATTTGGTGGTCTGGTAAGCTCTTGTAAGTCTTTGAGATGTGTATTACATAGGCATAACATACATGGTAGCATTGTGAGCATAAGGAAAGTTGCATAGTGTCTGAATGCTTTGAGTATGACAGTATGAAAAACAAGTTGCATATACATGCATTATGAATGCATTTTTCCTTCTTCCCAGCTACTGATAAGCTCCTGATGCCTCCTTGTTGGGCATCCTGCACACTGGGAGCTAAACGGTCAATTCCATGCTAGCTGGATAAAATATACTGAAATGTCAGTAACAATTTGTGCATTAGAAGCCATCCAATACTGTATTTTACAGATAGCTGTGTCTGTTGTATTTTATGTGTTGTCTCCTAGGTTTCTGTCTTCTAGGCCTTAATTTGCGGTGAATGAGTTTATTCATCCAAATTCTGTGCTGCATGTAGGAATTTTCTGTGAATTTTTGGAAAAGTGCATTGGCACTTGGGTTCGTATGCCTAGCGTATCCATTTTAACACACTGCGTTGTAGCTGTTAATAGTGGTCACTGAGTCGACATGACACTTGTTAAAGGATTGGTCACATCCAGGCCTTCTTGTAGATAAATTTTACTGCACTGCTTGTATTCTTCTTTATGGAAGACTGAAATGCTTATCTGAGAATTTTAGATCAGGAAGATGTTTTAAAGCATATTTTTCATATCTTGAAGAAACAGTGTTTAATTGCCATTGTCTTAACACCTGGAGGGGAGATAGTGCAAGAACTAATGAACTTGTGAACTCAATTTTAAACGTAAAGATACTCATTGTAAGTGTTTTTTGATAAGATTAATTCTTAAAAAGGATGATACAAAAATACAGCAAAAGCAACAAACCTTTAAATCACTTCCTTACTTGTTTACAGGAAAAATATTGTGTTTTTCTATATAGACAAATTTACACTTTGTATGCTGGTCTCCATGAGACTATGAGCTAATAGTATAACGGCCTTCTTAAGAAAACTTGTTCTTCCAATTTTGACCATTGATACAGTCATTCGTCCAGTTGCTGTCTGTTTAATCATTTTGTGGAGATGCCTCTTGCAAACATGCATTACTAGAAGCATTGCTATATGTTTACAAAAAATTTTTACTTTCCTCTAGCAAACACTCTTGAACAGAAATTGAAGATTACTTTCTTTAAGACAAATGGTAAAATATAGTATTTATTCCTAAGTAGGAAATGGATTTTTTCTTAGTAATTTGCCAAAGAAGGAGTCTTACATTGTTTGAAAATCAATTCATCCTTGTTTTTTCAGCATTTTCAGTTAGCTTTGATTGACTGCAACCCCTGCACTTTGTCTAACGCTGAAAGTAAGTAACTTTTTAAGTATTTCCATTTGTTTTGTTTCAGGTTTTTTTTTTTTTTCTTACAGCTGTAACTGTTTTCAGTGAAAAGAGTCAAAACAGAAAGGTAGAGAAAATACTGAGAGGGAGACTACGAAACCTGTTGTTTTAAATGGAGACAGATATTCCAGTGGAATTGTGGATTGCTTTAATAAATTAAATAAGTGAGAACAGAGACTTACTGTATTAACTACTCTGAAGACTTGAGTTCTAGAGGCAACTTGGTATTTGAATTTTTGCTTATTTATTTATAAATGTAGTGCCTGTATCATGGCACACATTTAATAGTCATTGTATCCAGGTGCCACTGTATCCAGGTACGACAAATTTGCAAATATGTCTTTTTTTCAGCAGTCACCTCAGCATCATTCTAAAGTTCAGTATCGGCTTTACACTGATGAAATTTAAAAAAAAAAAAAAAAGTAGAAAAAAATTGATTTATTAGGCGCCATTATATATTAGCCAGTACTTCAGCACTTTCATCTTTTAGCATGATTTGATCTATCATGCACATTATATTTTGTAGGTTGTTACAGATTGTGCTACATATATTTGTTTGTAATGAGTGAAATCGTATGCAAGAATGAATGTATATTTCTACATTGCATGGAATCTGTCAGAATCACAAGGCAGATAGTAGTGCAGAAAGTTGTTTCTTCTTGAACCTTCATGGTGTACTTGGTGTTGAGCCTAAGTTGCCTCCTTAGACTGGCTTCAGAAGCATTAGATAAAGTATTTAGAAGCATTTTTCTGTTTAATTCCAAGCTGGATTGAATTTGAATATTCTGTCAGCAAGGGTAGATAAAGAGGTTTTGTTTACATGGGTGAAACTGCTGGTTGCTTCAGCATTAAGGAGCCAGCTGTGCTACTGAGTCCTTTGCAAGGCTATGTCACTTATCAGGAGCAGGCAGAGTAATTTTCTAAAATTATTTGCAGAATTCTTACTAGGTCAGTAGATTTTGATTGTTTTCTACCAACCATATCATTGCTTATTGTATTTCATGCTCTTTCCTATTATTTCTCACTGACTTTATCAGTTTTCAGCTCTGAATTTTTGTAAGGCTCTCCTCACACTTCCCCTGCCTTCACCTGTGCTCCGAGATTTATGTAGAGGTGCAGCTCCCTGTAAGGGCTACTTTGCCCTTGTGCTGTTGCATTCAGTGTACAGCAAACAAAGGAGGAAAGAGTGAAGAGGAATGAAAGATACTTTGTCAGGTTCTCCAGTACTGCTTAGTGGAGGGACAGCTGTGCGTCCACATCTGAGATGCCAGATACTTTGGCAGAAATGCACAAGATAGCCTTAATCCAGCCTCTTCTGAAGTAGGCCATGTGAGTAACAGCATTACAATGACAGTCTTCCTGGCAGAAGTGATTGAGTCCTACAGACGTCTTCCTTTTATTTAGGGACTTGCTAATGCAACACCTCTAATTTCTTTCTCCTCTATGACATGGCTTTCTTTTGTAGCTTCACTATGAAAGAGGTTTGCTATGAGGGAGGAAAAAAAAAAAAAAGATTTTTTAGAGAGCTCCCCGAGACAAAAGAAGGGGTTCTCTTTCATCAGTGCAGAAGGAAGTTAGATGATATGGTGAACATAATGGGTGTGTTATGTGCCCTTTAGAAAGGGACACAAAAAGTTTATTAAAATTTCAGATGATGCATTTCATTATGATCTGTTTTCTGACATGCAGTAGGGCACCTTCTTTTATACTTCTTTTATAGTAAAGGACAAAGCAACACACAAGCAGATCTTTTCCCTTCCTTCATGACTCGGAGAGAAACCCTGAACATCTGAATTACCTAAAACCTGTTGTGCCATAGCATTGAGAAAGATAGTTCTGTGTGATTGAAATCAGTTGAGCTTGGTTTAAACAGAGATATTATCTTATTTATTTCTAATTTCCTTATGTACAGAAACTATTACTAGTCATCGTGCATCTCTGCTTAGGGATTATATTACTAACTATCCTGAAATGTTAATGAACTTTGCATTTCAGAATGCACATAAAATCCATGGTCTGCCTTTCTGCGTTTTGTTTTCAGTCTTGATGCTTTTCTAGAGAACACATTTTCTGGCAGTTCTATTATATTAAATGCAAAATATCAATACAGACATACTTTTTTGTGTTGTTAGAATGTAGTTAGTTCTCTGCTTAGCACTGATAAATTTCAAAAGCGTTTATCTCTGACTTGAGGAAAATGTATTCTTGATGTCATTCATTACATCTAATAATTTTGATTTTTCACTCTTACAGTTCAGTTTCACATCGCCCACTTATATGAAATCCAGGTAAGCTTTAGGCTCCTTTTTATAAAGTGTGATGAAGTTTCTAACTGATGGTATAATCAGTCTGTGGCATTCAGCTGAGTATGGATGCTTTTGTGAATTGAAGTTAAGCTCAAGTGCTAATATTATGCACGAGGATTGTCCTGCTGAAATGGGGTGGCTATTTTAGTAAACGTATGTTCACTAGTCTCCCAGTTAGTATGCAGTAAACTGCAACATAACTTTGGCTAACAAATGGATTTTTTAATACATACATATAAATGTAAAAAATGCATATTTTCTCAATTCATACATATTCATATTGTTTCTCACATTCATGCACACAAAGTTGTCCAGGTGCATGTATATATTATATATAAATATAAAAAATATAGAGTCTCTCAATTCATACGTATCCGTGTTGTTCCTCACATTCACACTCAAAAAGATGCCCAGGTGCTTTTACAGTATATTTAACATGAATTTTTCAAATTCAACTAGACATATGTGACAGAAGCTTGTGAGATCTGAGGACAATGGGACATAATGCTGTGTTATTATTCTGTGTCAAATCCTACTGCAGTTTTTTAGATGAATCTTTTGGGAAATTATAGAACACTCACTGAGCTTCCAGGATATAAATAAATTAAAACCAAGCAGCTATGGAAACAGCTATTGTATATTTGTAACTTGACTGGTCATATGATTGTAGATTGTATACTCTCTTGTCATGGTTATAGGTATAATATGACTGAAGAAGAGATGTGACAGGAAAACAAAAACTGTTGTAAATGAAACAGATGACAGACGAATTCTACATTTTCAGTCATTTGAAAAGTAACTTGATAAGTAAGTGCTGTCTTTTGATGGCACAGTGAAAAATGACATTATGTAGGCAATTATTTATAAATAGAAGTTAAAAACATGTTGAATGAGATATTTTCTTTTGACTGCTTTTGGTGCAGTAGAACTTTTGAATTTATGTAACTGTAGGACAAATAGAAATCCCCTATCCCAAACCACCATTAAGAAACTTCCTGGATTATTGTGACTCTTAACACGTCAGAGAGGTTTTTTGTTTCCTTTTGAGCACTGGATCACATCTGACAAGTTCATGTAAACAAAACACGCTATACATGTTGGTCCTTTTGATCTGCTAAAAGGAAGCAGAAAGTTGAAAATCTCAGGTCACCATGCCAAGTGCCTTATATAATACTGTGGCCTATATCGCAAATGCTTTCTAACTGGCAGTTGCAGGCAACAGGAACTTTTAATACAAGCCAGAAACAAAAAGCACATACTGCTTTTAGACTCCATTTGCCTCACAGTTCTCTTTAATGGGTATCTTCTTTTTTTGGAATTTGAGAAACTTTGAACCACAAGGGGTCTTGATTTGATTTGTTACAAACTATTTTATACAGCAAAGAGACACTTTTAGAAGAGGGGCTGGGCTTCTGTTTCTTCTGACAGACACAGAGCTACAGTTTCGTGAACCCCCTCATACATACGAAAACGAGCTCGTCTTTAATAACGTGTCAGAAAGTTCATTCATTCTGAACAAGACAGTAGTCTAGGGTTGATAAGAGGTAGTGGTGTTTTTTCTTGGTTTTAATGCTTGTTTCTACTACTTGATCTGTGGCCATGTGAGTACTTCCACAGTAGTTAGGTTATCAGCTGAAGTTCCTAAAGAAAGATGATGTTTTTTTCCCAACCCACGTTTCTTAAGATTGTTTCTAATACAGCCAAACTCAAGGGCATGTATTTGAATTGAATACCTAAATAAAAACAAATGTAAACATTATGACAGTTTTCTGTAGTACTTTAAGACAAATACGTAGGCAGATTTCTAAAGGGTAAATAATACAATAAATAACAAAAGCAAATATTATTCTAGGTCTAGAAAACGTACCGTATTCTAATAGATCTTTCTGAATCATTCCAAGCATGCAAACATCTTTTTCAAAGTGGGGATATTAGTCACTAGTATTTATCTATTTAACATCCAGATTGCTGCCCCTGCTGTCGCACTGCAAGAGGGGAACTTCTGTTCATTTGCCTATTTTTCATAGTCATTAACTACAAATTTTGTTCCCAATGCTAAATTTAAAGTTCTTTCCTGATTGTTTTAATTTTGCTAGCCATGGATATTTTATTTATTTATATTGTTTGTTTTCTTGCCAGTTGTCTACATTTCATGAACACCAATTAAAAACCTTTTCTACCAACTTCCCTTTGTTCCATTTGAAAGTATGTAATTGCCGCTTTAATTTTCTTCCTGACTAGATTAAGGTTTTAAAATCAACAGAGTTGTCTTTTGTGATTGTGGGATCTCAAGAACCTAATAGCATTTAACTTCTAATAAACACCTGGGTTGTTTACAATCTCCTCCTTGACTGTCCCTTTCAAAACACCACTAGGCAGTACTGTGTTCTCTTTGCATATAAGAAATATAACTAAGTCATGACAATTTGCATTTAGGTGGCCCTTTTTATTTTGATAGGTTCTTCATCTGTCTGTCAGAATGAGGTCTAATGTTGAGTTACCTGAAAGCATATTTTTTTCTCTAAAAAATGTGTAGAATTTTTAGAAAATGACAAAAAAAATCTGCCAACAACCCAATAAAAAAAAAAAGAACAACAAAAAACAGCAGCCCTCAGCCTTTATACTTTATATAGTTACGTGGGAGAGAAGTAGAGGAATTGAGCATTTAAAATAAGTTCACAGTTAAACAATTATTGCTAGGGTAACATAAGGAGAAACAAATGACGACACAATTACCAAAAAATGAAAAACAAAAAAGTCAAGACTGCTTAACGTTTGATGTGCACAAAACAAAAGCTCTTACTGTTCCAAAAGTCAGAAAAGACCACAATTCTAACTTGGAAATGTGTTTTCTGTTTCAAGGTCTATATGGGAGTTAAGAATTGAATGTTTCCATGCTCTAAGCACATTTAAACTATATGGCAAACAATAAGATAGCGTATCTTGATTCTTGAGGCATAATCTGTGGATTTGTTTTAATTCTACATATGGTGGTACTCTTACCAGTAGAGTAAATAAGCCATTCTAATATAACAAAAAAGGGAGAGAGGCTAAAGGATACCAGCCACCAGTTTCTGATTATCTTCTTTTCTGTTGCAAATTTCCTGGGAGTCATTTGAGTAGGTTTTTTTCAAATGTCAACTCACAGTCAAGCATTCCTCTTAAAAGAAACATGTTCATTTTAGTATAAGAAGTATAATGCATGCGTGAGGAGCTGACCAAATTGAATAATTTACAAATTTTCCTTGACTATTTTAAGTATTCAATTTATATTAAATACTATATTTTATGAAAGTTATTCTCTTACCATATATATATATCACTTACGAAAGCTTTCATATGCACTGTATGCAAAAAAAAAAGTTCTAGATTTTTTTGTCAATGTGTTTGTGTGCTGTCAGTGCTGTGAAATCATTGCTATTGGTGATCTATTGTGAGGTTTATGATTAATCAATTTACTTTTTTCCTTTCGCAGAGAAAGTATCACTCTGCAAAGGAAGCTTATGAACAACTTTTGCAGATCGAAAACCTTCCTGCACAAGTAAAAGCAACTGTCTTACAGCAGTTAGGTATGTAAAATCAACTTTTATTTTTCTGTGTGTTTCTTTTTTTCCATCTTTGCCTTCAACAGTGTTTTTTTAAGGCTCCAATTGAATCCAAGTGAATCTGAAATACCGAGAATCACATTTGAGATTTTAACTCAAAATAGAATGCGTAACAGTAGATAATTAAGCAAATAAGAGAGAAGGGAAATACTATAACTAAACTTATAAAATTAAAAAGCTCTTAGATTTGCTACGGTAGTTGCACTGTGGGTTTGGGGCAGTGAGAGGGTGATCTTTCAGAGCAAGAGTATGGTAGTTAAAATTCTCTGTTCTTTCAATTCTGCCTCTGAGAACATCCCTTCAATTGCCAGACTAAGTGCAGTAAACCAAAATACTTCTTTCTGTTGCAGAATAGAATAACCCTGCAAGTGAAAAATCTACCTTTCTACTTAATTTTAAGTGCTTAATGAAAACATACTCCTGTAACTAAAAGTTTATTACTCTATAAAAGAGAAGAAACCACATAAAATGGAAAAAAACATTACCATTTAAAATTTGTCATCTTCCACATTTACAGAAAGCTGATAAATCATTTGTAGTCGAAAAATTCTATGGAGTGGGTAGAATAAATTGCACTTTTCCTATTTGCCTCATGAAAGTATTTCCAGAATATCTTGCTAAAGTTATTCAAACGCTGCAAATTCTTCATTCACTTTCTCCATGTTCTTCATCTGATTTATTATTCTAAGTATTAATTTAGCCTGCTTGTGCCCATCATTTTCTTTTTGTTTTTCCTTCATACAGTGGTCATTTAATTCAAATGAGTAATTGGCAGTAAGTCACAGCCACAGTAGTTTCTCTTCCGCAACACAGGTTGTGTGTGCTTTTGGGGCAGGCTGATTTGTTTAGCTTTTAGTTTTTCTATGTGAAACCACAGGTGACACTGCAGGTATCTAGATGGTGTCGGATGGAAATGTTCCTTACATTTCAGTATCCCCTTTGGTTATTGTTTGTTTGTTTTTTAATTTGGTACTACTTAACTGAGTATAAATTGTAAGCAATATCATTCATATAGGCTACACAAAGGATCAGCAGAACACAGATTGCTCAAAATAGGTGACCAGTGCTCTTTCAAGTCTTTTTCACACATGCTGCTATGTTAGAAGCAAAGGCGTGGCCGTCTTCATAAAATCATACCACAGGTTGCTGTGCTACCAATAGGAGCAGTGTCTGAGAATTGTCTGCTGTCTGAAAACTGAATTAGCTTCCCCTATTTAATCAGCGTAGGTCACTTAATTGTGGTAGTTGGGATAGCTGGTATGTAGAGAAGGAGGCAGTGCTCTTAACTAGAATGTTCACAAAATAATACCATTTCTTTTGCTTCTCACTATTAGCGGTGCTATTAATCAGAGTATGGTGTTTATGACAGATTAGTATCTAGCAGCTCATAATAAAACACCTCCTTGGGAAGCATCGTCTGGGTGGTACACTGCTGCTTAAAAAAAATAATACGAGGGCTACTCCAAAAATAGTGCCTCCTGTTTTATGATGTTGGCACATGATGTCAGAGACAGATGTTGGTGGTATGGCAGTAGAGGTTGAAGCTCCCCTCCAGTATCCCATTATATGTTATTGCCATGTGACAGATGGCAGCAGAGGGGCACTCTGACACAGTGGCGTCTGACATGGAAGTGCGTATGAAGCAGTGTGTAATTGAATTCCTTCCTGCTGAAAAAAAATTGCTTCTGTTGACATTCATTAGCACTTGCTGAAAATTGATGGTGGCCAACAGTGGATGTGAGCACAGTGAGGCAGTGGGTGGTGTGTTTCAGCAGTGCTGTTAGAGACAGCGGGTCACTTCCAGTGGTGCAGCTTTTTATGAGTGTGGCATGCAGCTCTTGTTCATAACTGACAAATATGCATAGCCAAAGGTGGTGACTGTTGAAAAGAAGTGTTTTGTAGCTAAGAATTTGCTCTATCAAATAGTGTGATTGTACTCTTTGTATTTGATGTAGTTTCCATGGAAATCAGGCATTACTTCCAGAGCAACCGACGTAGGAAATACCTGCCATCTACCAGAATGCTATTAGCAAAAAACAATCAAAATATATTTCTAGATCAGATTCTTTTTTTTTTTTTTCCCACTCCCAACGGGAAAATTATTTTGGCATGAAAATACCTTGTGTTCATTTTTCTTAACTAATTAATGTTTACTGAGCATGAATTGAAATTTAGGCAAATTCAGATATTGTGTGAGAGAATTACTAAAACCTTCACTCTCATTGCTATTTTCCAAAACAGATCGTTGTGGAGGAAAACCTTGTGATTCTCTGAGAAATATGTATGTGTTTGAGCTGACGTGTACTGATTAGTTCTGATAGATTAACAGGAAGATCTGTGCAGTTGAATAAGAACAGTTTGTTTCATGTTTTTTACTGCATTTAATTTGCTTTCCAGACAATAATTCTTTTCACCACTTTGCCTAAAATTGCATTAAATAAGGGCCGCTATGCCGGATAAGAATGAAGATCTAATCTGTCCCAGTATTCTTTCTCCAATTTTAATGAGCAGTTGCATAATCTGGAGTGTAGAACAGTGTTAGCATCTGCCCCAGGCTTCCTAAAGCACTCTCGCAAAGACTTTTGTTGGGGGCATTTCTAGGTGATGTGTCTGTAATTGGGTGAGACATCATGAGATTCTGAAATGGGGAACAGGCTCAAAAACTGAGAGTCTTCAGAGACTGGGACGATGTTTATCAAGGAAGCAGCAGTTGCCTTAAATACAACATGAGAGTGATTTGATAAGCATAAAACCGACTAAAACATGAGCCAGGCTTGAACATGCTTTTGCTAAAGAAACATGGTGATTTGTTACAAATTAGATTTAAAAAAAAAAAGAAAAACTGGAAAAGAGCCTGGAACATGGACAAAATTAGCATTTTTGATTATAATGTTGAAAATGTCCCCAAAGTAGAAGAGTATTCAGTATGCTAGTTGACAATTAGAACTTGCAAAGCAGAGACCACATGGCTTACCAGTTTCCTTTACTTGTGCTGTTCTAGAAGAAAACTTTGTTCTCTCTTGACTTCTACCTTTTTCACCTTCCTACATGTTAAGATAAAATCAGAAAGCAACCCTTGGTTCAGCACTGAAAGTAGATAGGGATTTCTAGTTCTCATTTCTGTCTCCTAGAAATAGATTCTTCTTATCAGTGAACCTCAGAGAAGATCTGAAGATACAGCATGTTATCTGTCAGTTTGGAAAGATTCTGATAAAGCATAAAATAGGCATCACCACACAACACTTCTGAAGATTCAGGAAATTGTTTAATATCTGTTTTTTACCATGTTTATACTCTCTGAACTCTTACCTTCATTTCACTCAGGCTTTGCCTGCCACTGCACCCAATAATTTATCTTTCCTGTACAGTTATGTAGGTGCATTGAAATAAGCACCCTCACATAAGCCTTGTTTCTTAAAGCACAAGTATTTCCTATGTGCTTCAGGACTTCAGTGACTTGGGATTTTAATCAAAATCATAGCTTGTTGTTAAAATAAGTTACTGTGTTTTTTTTTCTTTTTTTTCTGGCGGGTAGGGTTTTGACTTGGTCCATCTTCAGACAAGATAAAGTACTCTTCTGTCAGCACTGTAACTACTTGACTCTTAACACAGTATTTCTTGCAGTCGGTGAATTATTCAAACTTATGCTTCTCAACACAGTTTCCAAGTTTCCACTTGGAAACTTCTTCAAACACTTCAGGCAAACATTGTTCAGTAGACTTGATTTTTTCCTAGGTTGCCTTTTTTTTTAAGCTTGCAAGTTTGTCTTCCTTTGCAAAAGTGTCACTGTGGCTGCTGTGAGTCCATGGGATTAAATGTATGTATATGTAACTGTTAACTCAAATAGATCAGGTAGAGTAAGTTACTTAAGGTATAGTCCAATCAGAATGAAGTAAAGCTGCAAATACTCATCAGTTCTGTTCTCAGCCTTGCTTACTGGGGTCTGACATTTCTGATGAAGTGGGCAGAATCTATTCTTTAAATGATGATATATGTTTATGTAGTTAGACTGATTCTTAAAGGATAAGCTTAGGGTGCAGAAGTATAGTTGATGTAGGTTTTACATGAACACTGAGAGCAGACGTATGTGCAGCTCTATATAACAAAAACCTTATGCAAACCTTGGATGTTATATGAAACTGATTCAGTGTTTCACGAGGGATCATTTTTGACCAGGACACTATAAAAACATAGGGACAGTCTGCTCTCATATTTTACAATTTATGAATATTAGATGAAAGGCAAGAGGTTGTTAAGACAAGTACATGGAAATTAAGCAAACATCAAGACATAATTGACCAATGGACCAGTGTAGTATGCAGAGATTTCATCAAGCTAGCTGCCTGTAGAAAAGAATTTCCTTTTACTCACAGGCAGCAGTAAGATGATTTTGTGAGCACTTCCAGAGATACCATCATCTAGGCATAGAGGCACATGGGGAGAAGCCTGAGAAGATGATGAAGGTGCTTTATTTGGAATGCTAACCAAGCCTTACGACATTGCTGAAACAGCGATGCGCTTTGATAGCTTGTAAAAGACTATATGAAGGCAAGGACTGAGAGACCATTAAAGTCAGGATAAATAATTTGCCTAACGTAGTGAGAAAAGAGAAGGCACGTGAAAATATATTCTGTGATTATGTGAGAAAACAAAATGATCTTTTTAGAAGAATTTGATATGTAGGTGAGAAGTGATTTCATTTTTCAATCAAAAAGAGGGGATGTTGTAGCAAGGTAGACATAATGACAAAGTATGAAAAACTGAGATGGAATGACGGCAATTCTTAATAATGCATTACTGGGGAACAGTGCAAATACAGACACGAGAGTTAGAAAGAAAAAGTAAAATGAGCTTAATATACAGATGATGGATGTGTGTTACAGGGAAGATGAGGGCATGAGAGGTGCCAACATTCAGAGGAGGAAAGAGTTAATATTTTCAGATTAACTTTTTATTGAATATTGAATATTGAGTGGTTCATAGTTATGCTACTAACCTTGTAATAAACAAGAATGTTTTTAAGGCATGTAAAAGCAATTTTGAATGTAGGTCCTGTAGTTTTAGTATAGAACTTCAAAAGGAAGTTTTTTAAGTTTCATTCATAACAATTTGTGTAACTGATAGTATTGTTTGATACTCATATTTTTATAGAGGGACCGAAGCTGTCAATATTCTGCTGTGCCAGAGCATTAAGTGATGTTTGAGAATTTCACTTCTGCCATCTGTGGATTTTTCTTGTAGGCTGGATGCATCACACCGTGGATCAGCTTGGAGACAAGGCAACCAAGGAAAGTTATGCTATACAGTATCTCCAGAAATCTCTAGAAGCGGATCCAAATTCTGGTCAATCCTGGTATTTCCTTGGAAGGTGAGAAATGACTTTATAGACTTTGTAACTGTGTTTGTAATTACTTTTTGAGGATATTATTATGAGTTATCTTTTATGTTCTTTGTAGCTTTTAGAGAAAAAATGAAAGGAAAAGGTGTTTGTATCTAGTAAAGGCCTGATTTTCTGGAAAGCTGTGAAGTTATTTAGGATGGTTATAGATTACAAGTTGAAACGAAATGCGTTACCTAAGTGGTCCTCTTTTTGTTTTTTTTTTGTTTTGTTTTTGTTTGTTTGTTTTGTAGTTCAGTTTACACCTTTACAGAAATGCTAATCTGCCTTACCTGCTTTTACTTGTTTCATTATTTTCTCTTTATTTTCTTAAAATCTCCCTCTAGTTTCAAACAGTTTCAGCACTAAAGTACAAGCGCGTTGATCTGCTGACAGAATAGTTTACAACTAGATATTAAGCCAAGATAAATGAAGTGGATGCATTCTAATTTCTACTTAAGTATTATATTAATCTTCAATCATGCACAGTAGTTTTCCCGTGAAAATTAGCTTTATAGAAGATGTAAAATCATGTCAATGTAAAGACTCTTCTTAGTCTCCATTTTTTTACAAATAGGTGCTTTAAACAAGCCATCAGTAACTTTGGAAATAATCAGGCTTTGGAGAATAGCAGTCTAACTTATCTTCTATGTGGTTGAAAGCTTTGATGTCAATTTAAGCACATGAACTGGTCAGTTCTGTGGAGAAGTAGATTAAATAGAAATTATGCAAAAATGAAATTAGTATAGTAACCTCAGTATCTTCCAGCTTACTTTCCTGTAAGTTCTTGTCATACCTAACTAGACATACTACTGTTTCTGTCACCCTGATTTTATTCCTGCTGCTCTTTTTTGAGCAAGAGTCTTAAACTAGCAGTTTGCAGGCTAAGGGAGAAGTGAGAGCAGCGGGGACAGAGAGCTGGTGTGGGAAGAAAAGGTAAAAGGAGCCAGGGATCATCTGGCTTGTTTTGTCATCCCTTTGGCTAAAACCTGTTCTTTTCCTCTCTAATCCCAATCCACACAGATAGAGCCAGTTGTGTTCTTACACAACAGCAGGACAAAGGCAAGGCTCAGTGGAGTACATGTGCTCTTCCTGTACCTAACCTTTAGTTTGGTTGGAGTGATACCTAGGACTATACAAACAAGATAGGGGAATGGAGGAAATAGAGGAATAGGAAGTGTAGTGGAAGTATCCCTTATATTATACAGGGGAGGAGCAGAACAAAACATTTCTGTACCTACTTCTTGCAATCAGTACATTAACAGGAGAGTTATAAGTTTACAGGGCTGTGCATTCACTCTTCCTCTTTTTCCCTCCCAATATATCCCCTTGTGTTACTCTTTCCTCTGCTGGTCCTCCAGATTAGATAACATGGTTTAAAGTTTAAAAACTCCACCTCGCTTCCCTGTTTTAAAGTTTCTTGGGTGCTTGATGTTAGTGTTATCCTAATTGGAATCTGTGTGTATCTGTTAAGCAGACAGATTTAAATATGTCTATGGAATGTAGGCTAAATTCTGGATAAAATGATAACCTGAAACATCGTATGGAGACATGACTTATTTAGTAGAATGAGTACCACTAGATAATACTGTATTTTCTAATAAGCCTTAAGAATACACAGAAGAGTGTAGCATATTTGATGAAGCTCACCTGTACTGTTCTGGACTTTTTTTTAAAATAGAATAAACTTTGTTATTGATGTGCTTTGAAACTTGTCAGTTCTTTTTCCAAGAGGGAAACTTATTGGAAACAATGTAAGGCAAAGCTGTTGTAGTTAAAATCAATTGCATGTGGTTTTTTTTCATATTTTATTTATTTGAAGTTTTTATTTTAAAAAGTAGATACTATTCCCTGCAGAATAATGGTAGTTCTCTTTCAAGGTTTGATAGTTCTGCTTACAATGCCTAGGAAACCAATGAAGTTGTAGAATATATATAATATTCAAGTAATAAAATTTGGAAAAACTCCAGACAAGGAAGATTTTTATTGCTTTCTGTACATGGTTAAACTAATTGGTTTGTTGTTCATTATTTGAAAACTTTGAGATAAGAGTTATGCATATAAAAAATTTCCAAGACCGCCCTGACTGAATTGGTCATTATCTCTTAATATAAATCAAATAATCCTGAAGCACTAATTGCAGAATATGAAATTTTATTGTATTAGATTTCATGAAATAAGTATCTTAATGGATTTTTTTGAATGTTGACTGGAGCTGAATATTGTTCTTACTGACCGATGTCTATCTTAAGTGAAACAAAGGTAGATCTTCAAACTATAGCATGACTTCTGCTTTCACTGCAAATACATTAAGTTAGGGTTTAAACAGCATTTCTGTGCTTCTCAAATGAAGAATTAGTAATACATGTTGATTAACAAGTTTGAGTCTACTTGTGCCCAGCATTGAAAAGCAGCAAATGTTTTGGATTCATCTAGATGAGTATGTATTTGTACGACTTAACATTTATCAGACCAGTCTTTGTAAGCCATCATCACTGATTACCTTCTATAAATATTACCAAAAGTCTTTTTTTCTTCTCCCAGGTGCTATTCAAGTATTGGGAAAGTTCAGGATGCCTTTATATCTTATAGGCAATCTATTGATAAATCAGAAGCAAGTGCAGATACATGGTGTTCTATAGGGTAAGGATAAAACAGGGTAATACAGTGATATAATTCAATGCTAATGCATATATATGATTTTAAAACTTTTGTGCTCTCAAATGTTTCGTAATTTTTTTTGTTTCTACCTTTATGTTGTTACATTTGTCTAATTCGAAGTTTAAATTATAATTTTACATGCTTTTTCCATTTTTAAAATACTGAGTATGCTGTGTATACAAACTTTGCATGTCAAGATTTTATAAATATGGGGTTGTTTCTTTTTGGCTTATTACTGTGATTTACGTAATGACAAAGTTTATTAAGGGCTTTGGGGTGAATGTTTGTATTTGACTTCATTGTACTTTGACTTTGTTATTAATTCTCAACTTCACAAATCTTTCTATTCAGTGTGCTGTATCAACAGCAAAATCAGCCTATGGATGCTTTACAGGCCTATATCTGTGCTGTACAATTAGACCATGGCCATGCTGCAGCCTGGATGGACCTAGGCACACTCTATGAGTCCTGCAACCAGCCTCAGGATGCCATTAAATGCTACTTAAATGCAACTAGGAGCAAAAATTGTAGTAATACCTCTGCACTTGCAGCACGGATAAAGTATTTACAGGTAAAGCTAAAGTTTTAAGATGTGGGAAATATTCATCCATATACATACCAGAGGGGAGGGTAGAAGTAACACACAGATTTAACTTACAATCATTTGTGGTGTGTATAACTTGTTTTCATATGTATTGTAAGCATATCATAGCCTGTAATATTTTATTTCTTCATTTTTAAGTGGAATTTAATTACATATAGACCCTATTTTACGTATTTAATCAGTGCATACTGTTTTACATCACTTTTTTTCTTTGTATTGTCTACATTTTTAAGTTCTCATAACATAGAGAGAGAACACACACGTGCTATCTTTCACTCTTGTTTGCAATTTCAGAAAAAAAAAAGAATTTTGAGACCTGTGAATCTAGAGCTCATCTTTGTTCTGATTCTCACAAAGGTTTATATTCTGGTTACCCTCTTTATACTTAGCACCTTTCTAAAACCCCAAATTTTAAATCTATCCTCTTCTTTAAAACATAATTAGCTACAGCATATAGGAAGATTTCATGGACTTGCTCTTACTAAAGTAGGCTTGTGTTAAATTTGCTTTTTACATAATTTTTCCTAGGCTCAGTTGTGTAACCTTCCACAAGGTAGTCTACAGAATAAAACTAAATTACTTCCTAGTATTGAGGAGGCATGGAGCCTACCAATCCCCGCAGAGCTTACCTCCAGGCAGGGTGCCATGAACACAGCACAGCAGGTGAGAAGTTGGGTTATGTTCTGCAGGTGCCCAGCTTTAAGGGTTCTTTACAATCTGTAGTGGTCAAGCTTATTTTGTTGAGTGCAGGACTGGCTTTTATTAATAAAAAGCCTTTGATTTATTTGCAAAGGTGTACTAGATCAAGAAGCAGCTCCCTACAATATGGGAGAAAGATGGGGGTACCAATTTAGAACCTTTGTGGATTTTCATGATTTTAAAAATTTCATCTTAAATAGAATGCTGCAGTGGTTTAATAATCCCTTGAAAGGTACACATTCCTCCATTGATGACCATATGGAAACTGATTTTTCAGTTTTTGAGACCATCTTCAAAATATCTGCTCAGCCCTTTTAAAATATGTGGGCTGTTAAAATATGTAGTTTAAAGGAAAGAATTAAGAATATATAGAACCATATTTTTGTCTTCTGTGATTCTTAGGCTTGTAAACCTCATCATCCAAATACTGAACCTGTACTAGGCCTCACTCAAACACCAATTTCACAGCAATCCTTGCCACTACACATGATTCCTTCTAGCCAAGTAGATGACCTGACCAGTCCTGCCAAGAGGAAAAGAACATCTAGTCCAACAAAGGTATATATTCTGATGAACTAAAGAGCCCCCTCCCAAAATTATATGGAAATATGCATTAAAGTGATGCAGCATGCACACAATTTGTGCCGTGAATTTCAATCCTTTGGCATCAAGGTGGGGAATGTTTTTAGATATTTTAAAGAAAATTTTTCAGTGATGTGTTTAGTAAGGAGGTTACAGTTGTGGTAGTAAGTGTGTAAGGGCAATACAGATCAGCAGTGTACTATACTATAGTTATAGTTGTGTATGTGGAAAAGTACAGTCATAGTCTGGTGATGGGTAAGAGAGGGAGACAACCATATCATCCTGTCTACAGCCTTTGCTTATATTTAGAATTCAAGTGTTTCATCATCATGTAGTGATGTTACGGTAGATAAAATTACCCGGTTCTAACAGCAGTGTACCTTTAAGTTAATTGCATAATTTTATTTGATTGTTTCTCATTATGGTATTAGATATCACTTATTTTACATCTAACTACTATGACGTTATATGGGAATGGTAGAACAAGTCTTGGCATGCATTAGTATATTCTCTGTGTAAAAAGACTAGTTCTTTCATAAGATAAAATCCAGATGTGAAAAGATGATATTGACCTTTTGATAGTCAAGAATTTTAACATAATGTTTTCTCTCAGAATACTTCAGATGTTTGGAGCAGTGGCCATACAGTGTCACACCCTCCTGTACAACAACAAATTCATTCTTGGTGCTTGACACCACAGAAATTACAGGTAAGTACGTTGAAGGTCTTGAAGCTTTGATTTATTTTTTGTTAGTTTCTTTCTTCTAAGAAAAAAATACTTTTGACTCACATTTCTGAAATTAAATGGGAAACAATACAAATTCTTTTAATATTGATGAATGCTGTGTGGAATATATAAGATTAGCTGTATAATAAAATAGATTTGATCATTAGTAGAAATTGAATGCTTATCTTGTTTGAATTGTATAATTTAAGTAGGAGCATACAGTAATGCCACTTATTATGTTGTTTTAAAGATAGATATGCAAATTGTAACACTTGCAAGGCAAGTGTATTTTGCTACTTGTTTTAGCATGGAGAATATTGAAGAAGTGAAAATATTGTGGCATCCTCTTTTTCTTATGAGCTATCTTATTGTATCAAATTACATAAACTCACACATTGTACAAAATGGGATTAATCAAATGAAAGTTGGTACCACTTTTCTGTATTACACATCATTTAACATTTTTTATATGAAATACTAGATTTTGTTTTTGACATCTTGTTTCAGGTCTTTTTTGTGATGATGCTTTTGTCATGTCTTCAGTTCATTAGAACTCGCAGTGAGATTCAGCTGGAATTCCACATTTTAAAAATCAGGCTTAGCTAGAAACCCTCGCCCATGTATCATAGATACTATTTTCGATACAAGGAAACATAGAAGAGGATATAGTGCAGAAACAGAAGGCTCCTTGAGCAATATTCCCTGTAACTTGCAAAATAGCTCTTTGGCTGTTTCTTTATATGAAAGATGTTACTTGCTGATAGACTGAAGGTGTGTGGAGAGTAGTTTAAAAGGGATGCAAAGATCAGGTTTTGGGTAATAAATACTTAAATTTTAGTTGTAAATTACTGCAGGGTCGTGTCTTCAGATACTTCTTTCTGCAGTTAAGTTGCATAGTGTTCTGAATGTTATGTGTTTTCTTGAGAAGTTTTCAAGTGTGGCTGTAAGACTGAATTTACTTCATACTGAGCATTATTTTAACTATAAAATAATAGAATAGTACGAAAATGTTAAAACATACATAATGATAATAGGAATTCTGAATTAATGTAGTTTTATGTTAATGTAGTTTTCTTAACAGTACCAGTTCTCTTAATTTTAACGAAGCGGTGATGAGATATACTCTAATAGTTCTGAAGATCTCTTTACTTTTAATAACAGCTAATAAAGTTTGGTTACAGACTTTAGTTTATGGAAAGATGTTTTAGTCTGCAGCAGAAATCTTGATCTTGTCTTTAGCTTTGCAAGTTTTGTTTTAGCTGTGCAAGTCTCATCTTCCTGGATAATTTTCAGTAATGTATGCAAGAAGGTCATTAAAGATTGCATACATTTGTGATGATTCTAAACTATACTGGTTGATTTTTTTCAGCACTTGGAACAGCTACGTGCAAACCGAAATAATTTAAATCCAGCACAGAAACTTATGCTGGAGCAGCTGGAGAGTCAGTTTGTCTTGATGCAGCAACACCAGCAAGTGAGAACAAAAATATTTTCCTGTTCTGCAAAACTTTTATTGGTGATGGCATCTGTTGTGTTTCTTGAATTTTTAAGGTTTTGTACAGAGGTCTCATGCCCTTGGTGATATTACGTTGTCATCTTTTTCATACAAAGTTTAAGTGTGATTTACTTGTGAAAGTTAATGGTTTTAGCTGTGTTTTATTATAGGGGTACCAGATAGCATAAAACATTTCAAGCTACATTTTCAAACTGAAGTGAGTGAATGCATGTAGAAGCAGTATGAGTTGAAAAACACTTACTTGCAGTAAGCCATATCACAGCTTTTTCTCTCATGCTTTCATTATTCACTTCTCTCTCTCTTAGTGTCCAACTTTAGCAGTATAATGCTAACAGTCAAACTGAAGAGCCTAGAAGAAAGGTGTGCCAATAGCTTTACCTTAAAATTCACTCAGCGTGTTTGTGAGCATGACAGTCATCTTACTTCTCAAATGCAAGTGGCAAGGTGTCAAAATCAGTATACAGTTGAAATTGAAAAGTGCAGTATAAAATACACAAGCCTAATATGATCTTTGCTTCTTAAATTCTGTAGCCTTAAGTTCTATAGCTAACATCCTTGTGCTTTGTTCATCCTCCATTAGATGAGACAAACAGGAGTTGCACAGGTACGATCTACTGGAATTCCTAATGGGCCAACAGCTGATTCATCACTGCCTACAAACTCTGTCTCTGGTCAGCAGCCACAGGTTGCTCTAACCAGAGTGCCTAATGTCGCTCAGCGTGGAATCCGTCCGGCCTGCCCTGGGCAGCCTATGGCTAATGGACCCTTTCCAGCAGGCCCCATTCCCTGCAGCACAGCAAGAACGCTGAGTAGTACAGACACTATTTTGATAGGCAATAATCACATAACAGAAAGTGGAAGTAATGGAAACGTGCCTTACCTGCAGCAAAACGCACTCTCTCTACCTCATAACCGCACAAACCTGACCAGCAGCGCAGAGGAGCCGTGGAAAAACCAACTATCTAACTCCACTCAGGTATACTATCTCAGTTTACTAACATAGCATTCTCAATAGGAAGGCTTAATAAGCAAGCCACCGTTTGAATTCTCCCATTTGTCAGCACGCTTTTTCTTTTTTCTGCAGTTGATGATATACATGCAAATAAAACAGACTAAGCTTAAGTCTGCCTCTTATATTTTGTTTAAAGCGTATGCACTGAATTAACTATTCTCAAGATAAACGATCATAAATCAAATAGGGGCAGTTCATACTGTTCAAATGCCTTATCTTCCAGACGTATTTGTGCATCTTTGTTGCTTCATTATTGTTAAATGCTGTAAATTTGCTTTTAGTGTAGTAAGAATGTGTGTATTTCATAGGAAATGAAATGTTGTGGCCGTTTTTGACGTTATGTTGTTTTTTGTAATCATTGCCCATATTTTCTTTCCGTATGATTTTTCAGGATTAACATCTAACAGTCAATCCCATGCTTGCAGAAAAATACTCTTGTCAGTAAAAATCCATGGCGATTAAAGTATATAAGGAAACTTTGTGTATCTGTGTTGGAACTTGAAGGTGGAGCTTATCTTTAAATTTCAGCCTAAATGTCTGTCTTCTTAGTATCTTCTAAGACTTATCTTGTGGACCTAATGAATTCTGTAGCAAAATGTTCTTAATGACTTAATTCAGTTTTGTTAGATTAGTTATAGAGCTTGATAGGGTATTGTTTTCTTCCTCATAAATTTCTTGATTAGTTATTACTTTGTTTTTAGTCTAATGTTGGCATTTAAGGAGTGGGTTGTGGTACAGACAGCGATACATGCTTGGTTAACTGCAGCAAAAACAGAGATGTTGTCGGAACATCTTGTGTAAAAAATGGCTGTTCAAAAGTAAA